GGCCTTTGGGGTCCCTTCCAAATTTTTGGTTCTATCATCATCATTTCTCAAAATTGGGACTTAAGGCCTAAGATGGCCAATGATAACCAGATGCCAACAAAACAAAATGTTTGGGTATATTTTGGCAGCTGGAGCGCTCAGCTGTGCCCAATGTAATCCTTGCTAAGCAAATATGAAAATTCCAGAACATTGGGTCGAGTCCTAACAATTTCGCTCCAACATTCATTAGTATTTACATCCCTACAACGGTCTCCTGTGGGTGAAGCAACCAGGATCTGAGAGAGCCAACAAAAACGCCATATCGTTCATGGAAATGTGCAAAACCATGCTGTCTTGTGCTTTTTAATGAGACCCCGGTTGTAAACAATGTGCGCACATCGCAAAAGACCGACCTGGATAGGAGCATTTGTCAATCGCAAAGGGAGAAAGCAAGATAGATGCGACAACATCCCGCATCCGGGGCAGAATATACATAATATATATTGTAAACCCCCCGTTTCCAACAGATAAATGTAATCAAGGTTTATGCGTTCGGAGAAGCCAACAGGATGGGCTTGTTTCACGCGAAGGATCAGAAGAAAATTGTAACTAATGTTGTGGAAAATTACTTTGATATTGCTTTCTCAGTACAGGATTACAATTAGGTTGCAGCGAAAGGCGCAGGGAAGGGGTAAATGAATGGTAACAAATCAACACAAACAGCTCCTGTCAGGAGTGCTTTGCTGACGGGGAGTAATGCAAGCATTACTTAAAGTTTTATGGCTCCCGTTTTGTTCCAGCGTTAAGTAGTAGTTACATTGAGGGGTTCCCTCTGTGGTTGCGAGACACTGAACAAGCCTTTCCAAGGAAAGGAAAGGACCGCTCCTTTATTAACCTTGCATTATAAACTACACCATCCCAAATTAAACTGGACGGTATGTATTAAGAGTGAGCAATGGCTCTCTCCTCCAAGTATAATTCTGCGGAGCATTTGAGAGAAATATAACCCTTGGAAGAAAGGTTCAGGTGGAAAAGAAGAGTCTGAGCATGCAACTAAATAGTAGGCCTGGGTAACAACGGAAAAAATTGTTTCTAAACTTGTTTCGTTTTTAAGGGTCCATCGCGTTTCGTTTTTTAAAAGAATTCCGAAATTTTCCTTTTAAAAATTTCGAAATTTACGAAATTTCGTATAATTACGAATCGATTCGTTAATGGCGGACGCGACTGCACAATATGCTAAAAAAAATCCTCCAAATGGGACAGGGGGAACTTCTGAAGCTTCCCTCTCCCTCTGTTGTTGACTGTTGGTGTGATAAAACAAACAACAACTATAAAACTTGCACCAGACATGCGAAAATAATTACGAAATAATTACGAAATAATTTCGAAATAATTACGAAACAATTACGAAATAAATTGAAAAAATTGTTTCGAATCTAATTTACTCCTCTCACTATTCCTGCATGGCTCAATATTGGATCGTAAATACGAATTACGAAATTAACGAACGAAACCACCCAAGCCTACTAAATAGTCATAGACAGGACAGGAAAAAACCCCTGACTGTAAACCCCACACCGTTAACTGGAAAACAATCCTTTTATTGAAGATAACACTGTTCTACAAATTTTCAGTTTTTCTCAGTTACGGAAACGAAATGTGCCGTTTCTTAATAAATGTAACATGCTGAATTCAGATATAATAATTAAATGTCTTAATTGGCTCCGGTTTTTATGCAACAGCTATTTCAATTTTCTCCACAATAGGTAATTCATTAATATTATGATTTATTTATTTATTTATTTATTTTGCTTGTATACTGCAATTTCTCAGCCTTGTAGGCGACTCAACACGGTTTACAACAAGAGCAAAAGTCAATCCAACAGCATACAAAATTTAAAAACCATTAACAGCATAATATACAAAATGACATATCAATAACAACACATTAACGTCTCGTAACTAGAATCGTGATCCAATTCGTCTTCCATAATTCCGTTTCCTATATTCATCGTGTACATTGCATTGTTTAACCGAACGCCTGTTTGAACAGCCAGGTTTTTAGTTTTCTTTGAAACACCATTAACGAAGGGGCTGATCTAATGTCCATGGGAAGGGCGTTTCACAGCCGAGGGGCCACCACAGAAAAGGCCCTGTCCCTCGTCCCCGCCAGCCGTGCCTGTGATGCAGGCGGGATCGAGAGCAGGGCCTCCCCAGAAGATCTTAGAGTCCTGGTGGGTTCATAGGCAGAGATACGTTCGGATAGGTAGCTTGGGCCAGAACCGTTTAGGGCTTTATAGGCCAATGCCAGCACTTTGAATTGAGCCCGGTAGCAAATCGGCAGCCAGTGGAGCTGGTGCAGCAAAGGAGTTGTATGCTCCCTGCGCTCCGCTCCTGTTAGTATCATGGCTGCCACACGTTGGACTATGATAATGCGCTTAACCTTACTGCATGTATATAAACCGTGAATATTTACTAAATTTTAGTCAAATTATATTGCCAATAGTTTATACATGAGAAATATTATTTAATTAGTCTATTGTTTATGTTTGTGCAGCAAGAAACTATATTAGTAGGCCTAATGCAGTTGAAAAGCCTGAAAGTTGAAATGTCGCTTTAATCGTGACTTTAGTTTTTATCCTGTTTGCTTCTCTTGACTTTTCTTTTGTATTCAAGGAAAGGATTCCCTCTTGCAATGCTCCAGCAGTAGTCTGACAGCATTGATGGAGTCCATTGGCCTTGATCTCTTTTTTCCATAGTGCTTTATTGACACACGTGTGAGGCATAACGACAGTAAAAAGAACAATGTAAAACGATGTTTAACGATACTGTCTCAGTCTTCAACTGACTGACCCTCACCGTTCAAAACTCTGGCCTTATATAGCGCTTTCTGGCTTTTGCACACGGCACTAATACTGCGTCATCAAACTTTCTAGAGTATTCTAGAATCTTCCATAGTGTAAGTCGCAACATGCATTTTTTCAACCATACGTGATCACGTGATTGCTTATATCATAAAAACTAGAGCCAATATACATTTTTAAATGTCATTTTCGTTTTCAGCACCCCAAAAATCATAAAAGAACAACTATTTTCAGGCCCGCAACTTTCTAGAATCTTCCATAGTGTAAGTCGCAACATGCATTTTTTCAACCATACGTGATCATGTGATTGCTTATATCATAAAAACTAGAGCCAATATACATTTTTAAATGTCATTTTCGTTTTCAGCACCCCAAAATCATACAAGGACAACTATTTTCAGGCCCGAAACCTTTTCTCCGTTGAACAGTGTAATTAAAAAGCAGCAAGTAAAAAGCACTTTAAAGAAATAGGTAAATCCAATTAGGTAAGAAGATAAGCAGGAGCAAAAATAGTCCAGGGTAAAGTTCAGAAAAGTCCATAAAAACAAAGTCCACACTTCCCTAATATAATTCAGGCAAAACAGGAAATCCAAGGCATGAGTAGGCATTCATACATTCCAAGAGTCCAAACCATGAACATGAAATACTTTGACAAGAATCTTCCAAGCAAAGCTTCCACGAAACAAAGGATGAGAACTACGCTTGAATCCAACAATGCTTCACCTGTCTATATTTCCCATACTTGAAACTTTTATCCCCTCGTTAAGCTATTCCACTCACTCAGGAATTGGTTTCGTTTTACTTGAGATCCCCTTATCTTTTTCTATCGGAGCCTGGCAGAACGCCAAAGGCACTGTTCGGCCTGTCTGTTTTGACTAATTTCTTTTCGCCTATCTATTTGCTCATTAAGTCTCGTAGCTGGGCCAGGTGCCCAGTTGTTTTCAAGCCCCAAATCCTGGGAACCCTCTGGTAGCAATTCAGGGAGTACACTATCATCCCCACAACCTTTGGGGACATTCTCGTGGGAAACTACACTTTGCACAAGGGTCTTCTGGTCCTTCTCTGCATCAGTATCATTGACCAAACCATTGTCATCTTGAAATTCATTGGCATCACTTCCCACATCCAAAGCACCCTGATCCTGAAGAGGCACAAATGGAGGGTGGAAGAGAGAAACGTGCCAAGAGGAAGGTGCGTCAAGTCAACCCCAACCGGGACCGCCTTCCACCTGGAAACCAATGCCCTCACTGCGGAAGAAGATGCAGATCAAGGATAGGGCTCCACAGTCACCACAGACCCACCAGAACACTGATCCTGGAAGACTATCCTACTCGGCCAACGAGGGATCGCCTAAGTAAGTAAGTAAGTAAGTAAGTAAGTAAGTAAGTAATAATGTATCTTGGGACATGAACTTCATTAATGTTCCTTATACACATCACCTGAAAGTAATTTTACACATAATACTTTCAATCTTTTAAGTCTGTGCACACTGTCCCACCAGAAAACAAAGTTGTCACTCTTTCAGCCATCATATGTGGATAATTTTGGATTTTGGAACATTTTGGGTCTCGGAATTCCGGATAAGGGATGCTCAACTTGAACAAAATCTGTGCAAAAAATGTGCCTTTTTTCCTTCTATTTGCAACTCTTCCACCATCATCCATCTCTCCAAAAACTGCATTATCTTTTTTTGCAGGTGCACATATAAATAGAACACATTATTTTTCCACAGGTGCACATATAAACAACTCCACGCATTTGAGAGAAGGGATCCCATCCCACGTATTGACAAAGTTTGCTGAGATAAGGCAGGCTAAGAAAAGGGTCCCAGGCTTGGATCTTTTGGATGCAATCCATGCACTTTGCAGTCAACTATTGACCCATGGCTTCTAGACAAAGCAGAAAGAGGGGCGGAAAGTATACATAAACAATGGTACAAGTGATGTTGTCAGTCATTCTGTTACAATCCTCAGATTCTGCAGCTTTCATGCAAAGTTGAAAACAAACCTCCCTCTTGCACCTCAAAAGCCAACATGACCTTCCAAGGTCTTCTCTCCAGAAACGTATCAACCCATTTCTTCACAATGTGGGCAAACGCAAGCCTCCAAAGCACAAGCCAAATGACACGCCGAGGGCATCTTCCCAAAAATCACTAACCTGGTGTTTGCTGGTGGACAATTTCTTCTGGGTCTTGCAGGTGGATGAAGACCACGAGGCCGGCTGCTCCAAACAGCAGGATGAAGGAGAACATGCAGGTCAGCTTCATCCTTGACGGACGGAAATCAATCCAGTTGGGGCTCGCGGGAAGAAGGAAGGTTGCCTTGCTCCAAAGGCTCCAAAGCTGCAGTCATCGTCTCCGTGGGCATTGCTTTCCCATGCAACCTGGTGGGAAAAGGGCGCACTGAGTCTCAATGTGTCCAGGGTCCGGTCAGTGATATATATGCATGCATTATGCACACCTATGCCTTGATTAGAATAGTGTGCATAAAACTGCACATCTATATGCACAGAACAACAATAGTAATAATGCACCACCCAGTATTCAAGCAAATGCTCAACCATGCACATACAAGCCATTACACATCTATATGCACCGAATAATAATAATAATAATAATAATAATAATGTACCACCCAGTATTGAAGCAAATGCTCATCCCCACACACACATGCTGTTTCACATCTATATGCACCGAATAATAATAATAATAATAATAATAATAATAATAATAATAATATATCACCCAGTATTGAAACAAATGCTCAACCATGTTTATACAAGCTATTGTACATCTATATGAACCAAACAACAACAACAACAACAATGTATGGTAAAGGTAGGTAGTCGGACACAACTGGACTTAATGTCAGAGGAAAACTTTTACCTTTACCTATACAAACCATGCACATCATTATGTGCTGAATAATAATAATAATAATAATAATAATAATAATAATAATAATAATGGATCACTCAGTATTGAAGAAAATGCTCATCCCCATGCACATGCTGTTTCACATCTATATGCACCGAATTATTATTATTATTATTATTATTATTATTATTATTATTATTATATACCACCCAGTATTGAAGCAAATGCTCAACCATGTATATACAAGCCATTGCACAACTATATGAACCAAACAACAACAACAACAATAATGTACCTGCCGGTATTGAAGCAAATGCTCATCCCCACGCACATAAGTCATTGCACATCTATATGCATTAATTAGTAATAATAATAATAATAATAATAATAATAATAATAATAATATAAGGTAAAGGTAGGTAGTCGGACACAACTGGACTTAATGTCAGAGGAAAACTTTTACCTTTACCTATACCAACCATGCACATCATTATGTGCTGAATAATAATAATAATAATAATAATAATAATAATAATAATGTATCACACAGTATTCAAGAAAATGGTTAACCATGCACATACAAGCCATTGCATAACTATATCCACCAAATAACAATAATAATAATAATAATAATAATAATAATAATAATAATAAATAATAATAATAATAATAATAATTAATAATAATAACGTACCACCCACTATTGAAGCAAATGCTCAACTGCACACACATACAAGCTGTTGCACATCTATGTGCACAGTCCCACATCAATATTCTTGAGCTGAATATGAATGTTATGCACCAGACAGCCTCCCCGCTTCCAAAAAATACCCCCATTGCTGACATAAATTCCATTCCTAGTACCCACTACAATATGCCCATTAATAAAAGGAGTTTATCTTTATGGAGACTCATTCAGCAATTGTATGCTTTAGCTCAGACATGGGCAAACTTGGACTCTCCAAGGTGTTTTGGACTTCCACAATTCCTAACAGCCTACCAACTGTTAGGAATGGTAGGAGTTGGAGTCCACAATACCTGGAGGGCCCAAGTTGGCCCGTGCCTGCTTTAGTTGGTCACCCAGGGAGTTTCCCGGGCTGAAAATGGATTCGGTCCAAATCCGATGCTCAAATCACTACTTAGAAAGACTAGAGGAGTGAATCGTGTGATGCCATAAATGCTGCATATTCATCCGGGGAGGCCGTGGCCTTCATGTGTGGACTTGCAGGGAAGATGCAATCAGGAAAACCGCTCAGCCATCCCCAAAAGTCCCCAAACGCCTACTGAAACCACCGCCGGTACCAACTATGCAGGCAGTCAGTGACATTTCCGAAATATCCCCGTGCCATTGAAAACAGCAGTAAAAAGGGGGGACTATAATATACCTGCTGTGGGAATTTACACCTCATTTGTGCTCAAGATTGCAGTCATAATTAAATAAATGCTTACATTTCTTGCTTTGGTTCCCCCCTTGTCGAACAAGGAACGCACAATGCACCAGGGATTTAGTTCACTCCAGGACAGATATTATCGCAAATGCTCTTTCGCGGTGTTTTGTTTTTAGGGGGAAACGGAAATAAAGCACGCAGCTGCGTTTGGCATGCTTTGGGGCCGAGAACTCCTTCGCTAGAAAGGAAATAAAAATGATAGATATTCCAAGATATACAAACTAGAAGTGACATCGTTGGGGAATGTTAAACCGTCTGGCTCATTTCAAAAATGAGTTGATTCCACAGCAAGCTGGCTTCAGGAAAGGCGAAAGCTGCACATCGCAAGTGCTGAACCTGACTCAGCACATAGAAGATGGCTTTGAAAGGCAGCAGATCACAGGAGCTGTCTTCATAGACCTGTCAGCAGCCTATGATACTGTGAACCACCGCCTCCTCCTGAGAAAAATGTATAATATCACAAAGGACTACCACCTCACCCGCCTCATAGGAAACCTGCTACAAAACAGGAGCTTTTTTGTTGAGTTCCAGGGCCAGAGAAGCAGATGGCGGAAACAGAAGAACGGCCTGCCTCAGGGGAGCGTGCTTGCTCCATCCATGTTCAACATCTACACAAATGACCAGCCACTGCCAGAAGGGACAGAGAGTTTCATCTATGCTGATGATCATGCCATCACCGCTCAATCAGGGAGCTTTGAGATGGTTGAACAAAGGGCTCTAGATGCCCGTACTGCCTATTACAGGGAAAACCAGATGATCCCTAATCTATCTAAAACACAGACATGTGCTTTTGCCTTTCAAGAACAGACAAGCAATCCGAGCTCTGAGGATTACCTGGGAAGGAATCCCACTGGAGCATTGCAGCACACCCAAATACCTGGGAGTCACTCTGGACCGTGCTCTGACCTACAAGAAGCACTGCCTGAACATCAAGCAAAAAGTGGGTGCTAGAAACAATATCATACGAAAGCTGACAGGCACAACCTGGGGATCACAACCAGACACAGTGAAGACATCTGCCCTTGCGCTATGCTACTCTGCTGCTGAGTATGCATGCCTAGTGTGGAACACATCTCACCATGCTAAAACAGTGGATGTGGCTCTTAATGAGACATGCTGCGTTATCACGGGGTGTCTGCGCCCTCCACCACTGGAGAAATTGCACTGTCTAGCTGGTATTACACCACCTGACATCCGCCGGGGAGTAGGAGCCAATAGTGAAAGGACCAAGCCAGAGACATCTCCAGCCCATCCCTTGTTTGGGTATCATCCAGCACGTCAACGACTTAAAACAAGAAATAGTTTTCTAAGATCTACAGAGACATTCGCTGGAACACCCCAGCAAGCGAGAGTCCAAAAGTGGCAGGTGAAAACCCAGAACCTCAATCAGTGGTTGATACCCAATGAGAGACTCCCCCCTGGGCACACAAAAGACTGGGCAACTTGGAAGGCGCTGAACAGACTGCGCTCTGGCACCACAAGATGCAGAAATGGGGCCACAAAGTGGAATCCACGACATGCGAGTGCGGAGAGGAGCAAACCACTGACCACCTGCTGCAATGCACCCTGAGCCCTGCCACATGCACAAGGGAGGACGTCCTTGCCGCAACACCAGAGGCACTCCAAGGGGCCAGATACTGGTCAAAGGGCATTTAATCAACTACCAAGCTTGCAAACTTTGCGTTTTGTCTGTTTGTTTGTTTGTTTTGTTAAAAATTGGTTGCTCCTGACACGATAAATAAATATTTCAAAAATACCTGCTAAATTAATTGAAGCACTTGCACCCATCTCATTAGTATCGAGATTAGAAGCAGCTGGGAAATGATTCCGTGAACCATGAGATTTTGGACAGAATTTTTGTTGCATACGAAAAGAGAAGGGTCAATGTCTTTCTCTGGGAAAAGCCAATTAAGCACTTGGAGGGCTCTCTGACTCTCGTTAGCACTTTCTGCTAAGAGCAATAACTATCTGAAATGGGATGGAACACTTCTACAGGAAGAGCATTTGTCGCTTGCTTCATAATTTTTCAATTGTGGGTCTTAATGCTTGTTGTTTAAGCAAGCATCCCATTGGAATGAATGTATGTTCCTATGATTTGGCCTATATCAGTGTATCTCAACCTTCCGAATGCTACAACGCCTTAAAACAGTTCCTCCTGTTGTGGTGACTCACAACCACAACATTATTTTTGTTGCTACTTCACAACTGTAATTCTGCTACTGTTATGAATCGTCATGTAAATATCTGATAGGCAGGATGTTTTTTCATTCACTGGACCACATTTGGCACTAAGACCCCATACGCCCAAATGTGAATACTGGTGGGGTTGGGAGGGATTGATTTTTGCCATTTGGGAGTTGTAGTTGCTGGGATTTATAGTTCACCTACAATCAAAGAGCATTCTGAACTCCACCAATGATGGAATTGAACTAAACTTGGCACACAGAACTCCCATGACCAACAGAAAAAGAAGGGTTTAGTGGGCATTGACCTTGAGTTTGGGAGTTCTAGTTCACCTACAACCCGAGAGCACTGTGGACACAAACAATGATGGATCCGGACCAAACTTGGGACAAATACTCAATATGTCCAAATACGAACACTGGTGGAGTTTGGGGAAAACAGACCTTGACATTTGGGAGTTGTAGTTGTTGGGATTTATAGTTCACCTACAATCAAAGAGCATTCTGAACTCCACCAAAAATGGAATTGAACCAAACTTGGCACACAGAACTTCTATGACCAACAGAAAATACTGGAAGGGTTTGGTGGGCATTGACCTTGAGTTTTGGAGTTGTAGTTCACCTACATCCAGAGAGCACTGGGGACTCAAACAATGATGGATATGGACCAAACTTGGCATGAATACTCCATATCCCCAAATGTGAACACTGGTGGAGTTTGAGGAAAATAGACCTTAACATTTGGGAGTTGTAGTTGTTGGGATTTATAGTTCACCTACAATCAAAGAGCATTCTGAACCTCACCAATAATGGAATTGAACCAAACTTGGCTCACACAGAACTTCTATGACCAACAGAAAGTATTGCAAAGCTTTG